TATATATATATATATATATATATATATATATATATATATATATATATTTATCTCACAATTGTACCATTTATATACAGTTTATTTATGCATAAATAATACCATGATCAAAGAAAATTTTAGTAAAGATTAATTACACGAAGTTCCTAAACGTATAGTTAAATTTATACTCAAAGCTTGGGCCAATTTACTATTTTTAATTAATCTAATAAGTTAATGAGGGATGGATGGATGGATGGACGGACGGATGGATGGACGGACGGATGGACGGACGGATGGATGGACGGACGGATGGATGGATGAAGCATTTTTTAGAGTTTAAACGATAAAAATGTCTTGTTTTTCTGTAGGAAATCCAGGAAACATTTACGTTTTTAATAAATCAGTCTGTTTTTTTAGTACCTACAAACAGAGTGCATGCACAACTGTAAAATTAGCCAACTGATTTAAAAATATCCATCTTTGTCATGTATTTAATGAAAAATAAAGAAGACATCTATAAAGGGCATAAATGTGACAACCTTGGCTTTCAGTAAAAAAAATTTTTTAAAACCCTGGCTCGTCTGCTTCAGGTTGATGCCTTGCTCGATGACCCTGTTTCTCCTGAGATTCAGCCCACAGACAGATGTCCAAACACTTCATCAGTATTTGTAATATAATGAGTAGATGATTTGTTATTTTCCAACAGAATAACCCGCCCACACTCAAACACATGCACACACAAAGACGGCGAGTAAAATTTGGATTCTGGTTATTTTGCCAACAAGGGGAAACACAATAACAGATTGGTTTGGTGACCATGTCACAAACAATGGCTACATCATGGCAACAAGGTGAAATAAAACCAATTTAGCGTATTTAAAACAACAAAATGAAAATGTATGTGTCATTTTAAATGTTCATTTCAAGAACTTTCTGTGGTCAAGTTTTATTAAAAATTTATTTCCAGGCTGTTTTGACAAAAAAAAACATTGACTCGAGTTACACAAAGCTGAATCGAAACATAAAATATATTTTACTGACAGTACTGACACAAAGGTGGTTCTTCACCCTTTTTAAAATCACCTTTGTACGGCTATAGTAACCAATATGGTACCTTGTGTAAATTACTTGCTCATGTTGAGTTTGGAAAGAAAATGATGGTCTTTGTGGCTACAAGGACAAGATGGACGTCACTCACACCTCCCATTTCTTTAGTATATATTTATTATTATTTAATGCTCGTTGTTTCAGAAGTGATGGCAAAACAGCCTTGTCAACTTCCACACAAATCGTTACACTTCCACAACCATGACGCTACAAACTGAATGTGTTAAAGCACATACAGTAGTCCCTCGCTACTTCGCAGTTCGACTTGCGCAGACTCGTTCTTTCAGTTTTTCAACGTATGTCAACTTTAATATTACTCACGTGATTGGGACGGTACAGATAAAAAGTTGGCTAAATAAATAAATACTTCGGACAGGCGCCACCATTTTGTAGTTTTCTTTCAATAAGCCTACACTGTATGGCCAATCCAAAGAACTACATTACCCAGAAGTCAACAGATCTTCCAGCCTGCTGCTTTCTGCCAAAATGGAGGGAAAGTTTTGATCTGATCCGAACCTGACCAAAAAAAAAAAAAAAAGTTTGGTCCTTATTCATAGTGACTTTGACGCTCAGTGGATGCAGAGCCGATCAGAACCAGACCAAGGCTACGTCCAGCCTCATCGGTCAATCTGAGTGCTGCTTGCTGGCCCAGGAAGTCTCTCGACCGGGGAGTAGTCAGTCGCATTCGGGACCAAAAATATCTGACCCGGTCCCAGCCCGTAGCCATTATTTCTGAACCCTACCCAACGAATTAACAGTAATTACAGGTCCGAACCCAAAAAAATCCCAACATTTTAATTAAGCTTTGACTGCTTATATAGTTATTAATGATCGGCGGACGCGCGCGGATGTTTTGTGATCTCACCTGATTGGGTCATCGGCCACGTGCGTCCGCTGAGTGCAGCGGCTGAATGAACGTCCATTTGGGCTGATGGATCTCTGGCAGTAGTCCACCTGAAGCTTAACTGAACATTTTACCTTTTTCAAAGCCGGTCAGTGCGCGGTCAAATGGTTGCGTGCAGCTGGTGAAAGTATGGCAAGCCATGTCGTCAAATAATTGGATCGTCAGCTGCGTGCGTCCGCTGACGCACTCAAAAGCCCGACACCGACCCTGCCCGCACATTAATCACATTATTATGGCCCGGCCCTAATTAGGGTCGGGCGTGGCCGGGCTCTGGGTTTGGGTTAGAAATGACAGCTCTAGAGTTCACTGGGACGTTTTCATCAGATCCCTCTGGATTATTTGGGCTCGATCTGGACCATCGTGTGGTTCTGTGCTGGCTCTCCGAAGGTCCAGCTCTCTCCAAAAGTGTCTGGTGCTCAATGGTTGCAGAGAGCTGATCAGAACCGGACCAGAACCAGACCAAGGCTGGTGAGTACTCATTGTAAGAGTGTGGGAAGGGTTTACAAAGCCTTAAAATATATATAAATACTAAAATAAATACAATATAGCATTTCTACCTTGTGGTTTTTCACTTATTGCGGGGGTGTTTGGAACGTAACCCTGCAATAAACGAGGGACTACTGTAATTTTAAAAAATGCTGATTTCAAATTTGTCCGGCTAATCCAAAGTAATGTATCTTCACCAAGCTGCTGGTTCTAAAAACAAACGCATGCTTTCAATGTGAACGTTTTCCCTGCGTTAAGACTTAGGGTTAGCCATCTGTAATGTCTAAAATAACGTCAGTGGAAGCACAAGTTTTAGAAGGCTAATAAAATAAGACTTTCTACAGCTGACTCAATTTGAAGATAAAGCATCAACATGGACAGGGCGGTGGGTTTCATCGCTGCAGGGTAGGTCTGAAGAACCAGAACCGAGCCCGACCAGAACAGAGTTCTGCAGAGCTGGTGAGTACAATTTTGCAGTACTGTACAGTACATATACATATGTTGTTAAAATGACGTAGGTTTAAGAGTTTATAATATTGAAAGAGTGTAGGAAGGGTTTAAAAATCCTTAAAATATATACAAATATTAAATATAATGTTATTACTTCATGGTTTTTCACGTATCGCGTTGGTGTGTGTGGAATGTACCCCCACAATAACTGAGGGACTACTGTAATCATATTTTGCTGCCAGCAGTTACGAGTCATTTGTTTACATTTGAACACTGACGAGTACACTTCAGACAGGCTCAGCATGCAACAAATATCCAGTCAGTCCAAAGAATCCTGGATGTAAACGGAGTTGGGGGAGAACATGGAAACTTAGAAGAAATGTCCAAAACAAAAAGATAAAGGAGTAAAGTCATTTCAGTGAGGAATTCAAAAGAGTTAAAGCTAAACGTTATGTTATGTTGTTTATTTGTCATATGCAGGTTAACACAAGGCCACCAGTGAAATGTTCAGGAGCGAGTCGACACGGAGCTCTCATCAGTGCAGCCGTTCTGCGGCGCATGTGACGTCATCAGATAAGTTGTGGCTAAGATCAAGTGCAAAGCGCTGCGCTGAATTATAGGAAACTACTGAACGACACATTTTATTGTAAACAAAGGCCAGGCATGTTTGCTGCTTTCTAATGCTATTTTATGTATTTGTTTGTTTTTTTAACAAAATATTCAGCTGGTTTGGCTTTTAAAATTATGGATAAATGAATAATATTTTGTTATAAATTTATGGTAATAATAGTTTTTTTTTTCTTGTTAGTTGGGACAAAATTGAAGTGCGAGCATAAAAACGTCAATATAGCTTACTGGAAACTAACATTAATTTATCACTTTATGTTTCACAGAGAAAAAAAAATGGTGTCCTGCATTCCAAATACTGTATTTAAATTCTAAAGTAAAAAATGAAGCTGCAAGCAGCCAGTTATTGTTTGACTTTAAATTAGAATACCCAGGGAGGAAAAAGCAAACACACAGCTCTGACTTGTATTGACCCAGAGAGCATATTCAAACAGCAGACATGAATGTGCAGCAAACCTGACAGCTTGAGGCCTCGCTCTCCAACCTGAGTGCTGTAACCATGGGGCATCCTGAGGATGGCATCATGGAGGCCTGCTAAACGTGCCACTTGGTACACCTCCTCTGCCGTAGCGTTGATGTTGCCGTAGTGCAGGTTGTAGAAGATGGTGTTGTGGAACAGGACGGCATCCTGACAACAAAATTAGAGAACAAAATGAGGCTTCAGAGAATATTTTTATTGCTACAGAGAGAGGAACAAAAGACTGCAAATACAAACACTAGAATAGGAGGGGGGGGAGCAAATGACAAAAACATGTTCATGAACCATCTGTTCTGATAAGTCTCTGAGCGCTTCAAAATTTAAATATTTGCATTCGCCTTTTGTTCAAGTTACTAAAAATTACTCTTAGATCGTCCTGTGCTGACAACAGTTTAGTAAAAAAAAGTTCAATCTCACAATTTATGTGTATAGACAATTATACAAATACATTTTAATTGTGGTAAAGGGTATGGGTTGATACTATAGTACTGATATAGTATAGTATACTGGTATAGTACTGATTTAGATTTGTTTTATTGTGCTGGAGTTTCTCAGACCTGAGGTACGACGCCCAAAGACTTCCTCAGGCTGTCCAGGCTCACATCTCGGATGTTCTGCCCTGCGATGAAAATGTTACCCCGCTGGGGTTCGTAGAAACGGAACAGCAGCCGCACAACAGTGCTCTTCCTGCACACAGTGGAAAAACAGATAGTCAGCATCAAGATAACAACAGCCATGCCTACGACAATTAGAGATGCATAATATTATTGGCACGGTACTGGCCGATATTTGTGATAACGATAAATATGGGACATTCCATCAAAATAACTCACCGACATAAAAGATTGCTGTTTTTATACATATACATATCAAAGGCGCTGTTTTTGTGCGACTGTTTGAGTGTTGTCATTGTGTTAGAGAGCGTAAATGTCATGAATAAATTTGACATTAATAATAATCCAAGTTAAAGTGTTATATCATTTTCAGCCCCCTTTTGGGCCAATACCAATATGCATTTGGTAACAGGCCAAACTGACAAAGACCATGCAGAATAATGTAGGATTTTAATTCCACAGCAGAGAAAGCTATGTAGTCTCTGTAAGTAGGTCTAGGGGAAAAATATATCAGTATTGGTATCAGATATCGGCAAAAAATCCAATATTGTACATCCCTAATGATAATAACACCCATTGTCTAAAAGGTGACCCACCCTGAGCCACTGCCGCCAACTATAGCCACCTTCTTCCCAGCAGGCACCTCAAAGGACACTCCATTTAAAACTTTCTGGCCCTCCAGATACTCAAAATAGACATCTTCAAATCGGATGGTGGCTTCCTGTGGTGTGATCTGCAACGGTGGAGCGAGATTCTTCTCCTAAAGAAAAAAAATAGAAACAGAACATAAAGTCAAGGCCTGAAATGATGTAACAGCACCTTGTACAGAGACTCAATGCTGCTGCCGCAGCCTTTAAAACTGCATACAAGAAGACATTCATTGCGTATTTGAGCAGTCATAAAAGGACGGCGAGTGAGTGTTCTGCCATTCAAGGTGAATGCTGATGGATCAATAGGCACGAAAACTTTTTCTTCATAATGAGCTCAGCTGTAGTGCTGACATGCAGCCAAGGTCTGCAGCGAATAAAACGCTGTCCTTTGCCTCTGCTCAATGCGTACGGGAGCATAATCACCCACAATCTACCTCAGTCAATTAATACAAATAACACACAGACCATTAGTATAAACAGATGATAATTCCACACCCCTCAGCATGGAAAAAGCCAAAATTATTTCATTTATATTTAGTGGTGCAGTTTCAAGTGAGGGGGAGTTTTAAATAATTTTACATCTACATAATAGGACAATGTGTTCCATGGTTAAAAAATAAAAAATAAAAAAAAAAGCATTCAGACGGTAATGGCCTTCTAGGCAGGACCATTCCACAAGGATTCACAATGGAGAGGAATATTACTGATGAGTGGAAAAATAAGTGGACAGATTCATCTCCACCACTGTAATTACAGACTGAGAAGGGAACAGCCTTCTTATTGTTGGGCAGCAGACACACATTTGCACTTAAGTGCACTCCTGTGATGCAAGATGGGCTGTCATGTCATGTTAAAAAAAGATAAATGAAACTACATTTCTCTTAAAAAGAAGATGGCTAGTTCACGGAAGAAATACGAAGGCCTTTAGGTGTGAAATCTCAAATATGTGGTTATTTTTCATGATGACGTGAACGATTAATATGGTTATAGATCCGAGTTGAAATTTCTATGATAAAAAGGTAAATGGGGACAATGTAGCTATAATAATTTGTGCATAATGCAATTTGCACTCAAGAACAGCATTGAAGAGGTGGATTGGTCCTAGAAAAGGGGAAAATTCAATGGGATACTGAAAATAAGAATTTGAACACAAAGAACAGAACTTTAAACCAACAACATTAATCGAACATCAGCAAAGAACAAAAAGTTAAAAAAAAATTAAAAAAAACATTTCTTACGCAACAGTGACTTTCATTACAAACTGTTGGTCTCAATAGAACAAGTGAGGCCAATCCTGGTCCTCAGGGGCCACTGTCCTGCATGTTTTAGAGGTTTCTCTGCTGATTTGAATCAATGGGGGATTACCAGGGTTCTGCAGAACATGAAGAGGTATTTTAACCATTGAATCAGGTGTGTTGGAGCAGGGAAACAAATAAAACATGCAGTAGAGTGGCCCCCAAGGACCAGGATTAAACACCCCTGCACTAGAAGGTAAAAAAACAGTTCAATAAAGAAAATAAGCAAGCAACTACAACTTAAAAAATGCAGAAATAAACATTTTGGGAAGTCAGGCCAAGTACAAAGAGATTAGAATTACCACTGCTTTCAACGTTAGCAGAACCGCCTTCTTCCACCTGCGTAATATCTAAAATTCGAAACATCTCATCTGAAAATGATGCAGAAAAACGGGTTCATGCATTTGTCACATATAGACTGGACTATTGCAATGGTTTGTTATCTGGGTGTCCAAATACTTCTTTAAAAAGTCTTCAGTTAATCCAAAATGCTGCTGCCAGAGTCTTAATGGGAGTTGGCAGGAGTGATCGTATCTCTCCAGTAGAGCTGGGCGATATCTCGATATTTAAAAAATATCAAGATTTTTTTTTTGCGATATAAGTTGAGACTATCTCGAAATAAAACAATATCGTTTTATACTTGGAAATCCTGCCGTCTTCTTTCTCCCACTCGCCCCCCTCCTTCTCCCTCCTCGAACACAAACACACAGCCCTCAGCCACACTCCCCCTCCCCTTCCTGCTTCTCCAGAGGTGGGTGGGCAGGAGAGGAGACGTTTAGCGGAAGTAAACACGAGCAGGTGTGTGAAGCTGCAGGTCCGACAGACCTGACTCCTTCCTTGAAATAAACCACGGTTCAGAACTCATTTAGCCGTGCTGTGCCTTTTAGAGGAACACAGAGAGGAAGCACAACATTAATTTATTAATATATGTAAATACATGTCTAAAAAATAAACTATTTAATATATGTGAATAGTTTATTTTTAGGCATTTATTTTGTACAGTTACAGCTGTTGTTAATATGCCTGTGTGACAATAGGGACAAAACTTTGACTGAAATATACTTTTGTTATTACTTTATGGAAAGAAAAATATTGAGATATATATACATCGTATATCGCGATTTTTGTAAAAATATCAAGATATTAATTTTGGTCCATATCCCCCAGCCCTACTCTCCAGTTTTAGCTTCTCTCCATTGGCTCCCTGTCAAGTCCAGAATCAAATTCAAAATCTTACTTCTAACCTACAAAGCCCTCAACAACCTAGCTCCATCTTATACTACAGATCACATTGTTCCATATTTTCCCAACAGAGCACTTCACTCTCAGACTGCAGGCTTACTTGTGGTTCCTAGAGTTTCCAAAAGCAGAATGGGAAGAAGATGTTTCAGTTATCAGGCTCCTCTCTTGTGGAACAAACTTCCAGTTTCTGTCCATGAGGCTGACACATTGTCCAGTTTTAAGCTTGGGCTTAAGACTTTCCTTTGTGATAAATCCTATAGTTGGGGTTGGCCTGTTATGATGCTATAGGCTTAGACTACTGAGGACAAATTGACCTCATTTCCTTAAATGAATTATTAAAATTGAATAGTTTTCATTTGATATTATTTCTAACTTAACATGTGATTCTTGACCTGCCATTGTGTATCTGTTCCTCCTTCCTGTTCCTCTTAAACCCAGACGGTGGAAGCAGATGGACGCTTGTCCTGAGCCTGGTTCTGCTAAACGTTTCTTCCTCATGAGGGAGTTTTTCCTTTCCACCGTCACCTTCATGCTCGCTCAAGATGAGAGTTCTGTGATGAAGTTAAACTCAAATCCGTCTGCTCCTCAGATAAATCATGTTATTAACTTACTTTTTATATATTTGAATGTTTCTGTTCAGTGCCCTGAGATGACTTCTGCTGTGACTGGGCGCTATATAAATAAACTGAATTGAACTGAACAGTTTGATAGTTAATACTACTAGGGGGAAGTGGTGGCGCAGAGGTTAGAGAGGTGGGTTTGTGATCCAAAGATCGCCGGTTCACGCCCCGGCCCCGACAACATCAAAAATTGTGGGTGGGGTAGGTGAAACACCCACACTTGCCCCCACCCTCATTCGCCCCACTCTGGGCCCATGAGCAAGGCCCTTAACCCCCACCATGTGCTCCCTAAACAGGTCTCTCTTGAAAATGAGTTCTCGTGGCTCAATGAGACTAACCTGGATAAATAAAGGCTAAATGAAAAAAATACCCCAACTGGTCACCAGTATGTAGCCACTGTACTGCAGGAATGTGTCATTTTATTAACACAGATAAGAGTAATGCAGCCAGTAATGTCAGACACTACAGGTGGGAACAGATGAGTCACATCAACCATATAATTACTATGTTTGACTACAGCCCATCGTCTTTTTACACCACATGTTGATAGGTTATCCAAGCTAAGCAATTATAGGAACAAGTCAGTTCGGTGTTAAAATCTTTTACAACCTGCTGATGTTAAAAAAAAAATAAAAAATGTATGAGAGGCTTTATCTTTTTGGAGTGTTTACCCTCGCTTTAAAATTTTAGACTGAACTCTGTGTTCACTTTCTATTGTGCACAAACTCATGTCTCCTGATTTCTTTTGTTAGCGGATCTAAATGTAAAAATAAAATAAAATAAAAACACAGAAGAGTTTTATGTTTTACTGCCACGACGGGGAGAAGGAGGCTGACAAGTTACCTTGATCTTTGTGTCGACGCTGAGCAGAGTGAAAAGCGTGTTCATGTCTATGAGAGCCTGCCTGGTTTCTCTGTACACGGTTCCCAGGAAGTTGAGAGGAAGAGAGAGCTGGAAGAGCAGGCCATTCACCATCACCAGGTCTCCCACGGTCATGGTACCTACACGGCAACACAACGGCTCAAAGTGATGCACGTGTTCCTGCTCTGTTACAACATGGATTTAAATACAAGATCTAAAAAAATGAATAAAATAAAACCACTCAAACCATTTTCTCTTCAAGTTGCTGTGAAAGCAGAGAGCATCTCTGCCCCTCCCATCGTTCATTTGCTGTATCAAGGCTATTTTATTTTCTATTCATGCCTTTTTTATGCTTGCAGTGCTTTGTGCTTATTATTTTTTTTCTATTATGGAGTTCAGTCAGGATTTTACTTGCATGTTTCATGTATTTTATTTTGAGGGATTTTTTTTTTAATTGCTATGTGATATTTTCCCCTGCTATGCTTTTAGTAAAAATCACAAGTGAAAAGGTCAAATTGAGGTCAGCTGATGTTTTTTTTTCCCTCCATCTTCACACTTGAATGCTGGTATGTTTTGCATCTTGAAAAGAACTGTTGTCTGGTTTCAATCCCCCCCACCCTGAGCCACAAATACACATAATCACCAAAAACTCCTAAAATGCTCACCTGCTGTGATGCCTTTACTGGCCAGCAGCATGATTGCAGTGAGGCCGACGCTGAAGATGGCACTCTGGCCAAAGTTGAGCATGGCGAGCGTCGACGTGGTTTTTAAAGAGGATGACTCATAGATCTTCAGGAATTCATCATACCTTTCAGCTTCATACTTCTCATTATTGAAGTACTGTAGCCAAGACAAGAAAAAAAAAACATGAAGAGAGAGCAGAGAAAGGAGCGCAGGCCGGGGAGACGATGAAGGGATTCACAAAAGAGTGAGTTTAGAGTGAGAAAAAAGGGGGAGAGACACAAATATGGTTGAGGTCAAAGGTTAAGGAAGCACGGAGAGAAGCGTCAGGCTGATACACTTTAGCTCAGTGTGCCTTGAGGCTGCATTTGTTCTCAGTGACCGCTCCGAGCAGAGACTGCGTCTCAGTTGGCCTCCGAAGCACTTTTTCATGTCTGTATCTTCATCTGCTCCCGACAGATTTTAACGGACTTGAAAGCAGTGGAACAAAATCCAAAGCCTGCTTTGCTGAACTGGCAGCCGATCTGATGTTTCCACAGAGCTCAGCGACTCTGGTAAAACAACAGTTACAAATATTAGGCAGGGAGCGAAGCCTGATCACTTGTAAGGGCGACTGAAACGGCTGCAGAGCACTCATCACGGAAATCGTCGCCTCTGCCTCTCTGTATTCACAAAGATGCCTGCATTACCAACAAAGCTTAGAAAGCCTTCTTAAATGTTGCACCACACAAGCAGAACTAATTCTGATTAAGACAGCTATCATTAAGAAAAAAAGGCTCATGAATCAGCCACAAGCACACCTCAGAAATATAGAACATGAAACAAAAGAATAATTGCAACGATCCCCAACTCTGCTGCTAATTACTTCATATTGTTGCTGCACTGCTGTTTGTTTAGCTTGCACTATTGTTTCCCTGCTCTGGTTAAGTGGGCGATTTGCCTCTCTTGCTAACAGCAGTGATGCCGTGCAGCTACTGACTTACCATCGATTTGCATAGAAGAAAATGCAGCAAAATCTGAGAAGGGGAAATAAGAAAGTGGCACATAGAAGACAAACTGAAGCAGCGCAAGGCACTGCGTTCAGGTTCTCATCCAAGCCTTTATGAAAGTGGAACGGATTTCTGAGTGGGTGGAGATCTAATTACATATGCACACTCACAGCTCAGAGTGATGCTAAATCTGGCTGCATTGACATAGATGACACAAAATAACACAGAACAAGATGTTAAGAAAAACAGGACAAAATAATGCGGCAAAAAAACAAGTCGGTGACCAAAAAATATAAAATCAGAAAGTACCTTAAATTTAATGTAAAGTACTGGTACAATGAACAAGTCTTACACCGCTTCTGATTTAACACACCTGAAAGTCAGCACTTAGTATGACCTGTCTCTTAACCAAGTTTTTTTTTCTCATTTCTCCAGGAAGTCTTCAGGATTTATCTTCTAAACTTTCTGCACAACTATGCCTGTCACCATAACAAATTTTGCTGGGCGATAAATTGTCTCAGAAATTATTGCGATAAACAATAATATTGTTTATAATATTGTAAAGAAGAAATGTTGGTTAAGTCGTTTTGCATGTAGTGACTTTTTTTAACCACCGGATGACAGTATAAGACTGTTTGAACCGAAGGATGGATAGTGAGGGAGCGAGCAGCGTGTCTTTAAGAAAAATGAGAGGGAGGCCCCTTGACGTGACATGAGCTGTCTCTCCTTCCTTTATTCGATTCTCAAAATGACAGATGCTTGGTGTGGTTTGAGCTCTTTAGCATAGCATTTGCGCCACAAAGCTTTTAATAAAAAATAATAATCAGTAAACAAGTTCTCAGCTTCTTTTTGCAGAGAAAAACAACTTTTTACACAAAGACACGAGTTTGACCTGTGAATTTTGGAGCTTCGACAAGACGGACGTTTTTCCCCGAGGTCGGTCTGTTAGCTTAGCTCGTAGTTTAGCTTCTCAGCTTAGCTGCTTTTAACGATCCAAAAACATGATCTTGGACGGTTAAAACGGATTTTAAAGAGAAAAGCGAAAGGGAGGGGTCAGTAAAGAGCTCCGGAGTTGAGCTTTTTGTCATCCAGTGTCTTCAGTAGAAAGAGAGCGACACGAAAAAACGATAAAGCCGATAAATAAAAATGACGTTGATAATTTTCATCCATCATGCGATTAACTGATTTATTGTTACCGCGACAGGCCTATGCACAACATCACAGTTTTTATTTCAATACTGGCAGCAGTTTTCTGTCAACATGTTTGCACATTGCTTCAATAATATTGAGGTTTGGGCTTGAAGGACGTCCAATCCATGACTGACAGAGCTCTATTCTTAGGTTTTCTATCAAGGTTTGTTTTTATTACACCGACATTGTGTATGGGATTAATGTCATGATGATATATCAAGCTGACCCATACAATGACAGCACCTCCACTGTGTTTTACACTGATGTACTGGTCTGTGGACTTTCATCTCTACATTTGGACAACTTCAGTACAAACATTTTAAATTTAATTTTTTCAGTCTGCAAGATATTTCACTGTTTTGTAGCAAATTGTTTAGCGTACCTCTTAAGTTATTTGACACAATCTCTCCTTCCTGATTCTACTTTTGCTAGAATGGCTTTAAAATCCTTTCAGATGAAGTTTTTGTTAATAGTAAAATGAAACAGGTCATCAATTATGCTTCTCTGAGATCACACGAGGCCAACTTTCTTAGTAACAGCTAATGTTCATCTAGTGTGCATAGAAATTAGGTCTTCTACTTCTTTATTTCTTCCTCTGGTTTTAAATTTCATAATTTTTAGGATTATATTGCACATCAATGTTCCCCCCCCCCCAACATAGCTTTAGAAATAATATTGCTGAATAAGAAAATATCATTTTATACATGCCAGTCTCTGGTTTTTGTCATTTTTAGTAGATTCAATAAAAGAAAAAGGAACAATTGTATATTTTTGCAGAGGGCTGCTAGAAGCAAAGTGTCTAAAGCGTCTTTATCAAATTGCCTGTTATGTGTAGACAACATTGCTTCGTCTCTTGTGTGAGGTGCCTTTCTTATCCCTAAATGATTCATATGTTAGCACTAGGTGGCTTCAAAATATTGATGCTTCTCTGAAAAAAGTCATGTATAAAAACTGAACAAAAATGAGAAAAAGAGCAATCAATGGTAAAAGGAAAACTCTAAGATCTTGAGAAAAACCTAAAGAACTAATATTTAAGACCAGATTTAAATGGGCCCTTAGCAAAAAACATTAAAAAAAACATGTTACATCACCCATTCGGCTCCTACTTTGCATCATACATTTCTACGAACAGCTTCGCAGGAGAAAAAAAACAAATACGAGACAATAGTTGAAAGAAAGGTGGGCAAGCAAAACACTGATATACCGTATCGTGTCGAGGGAATGGAATAGTGAATGTTTGTAATTTTAAAAATGAATGTTTTTTTTCTGGGCTGAAACTGAACATGGATTTTTATTTTTATTTTTTTGGTGCACAATATTTAAATGGGTAGGAGTTACACTTTGTATAAGAATAAAAGAGAAGTGTTTTTATTTGCTTATCTGAGGAGGCGCAGAGACAGATCCAGGCAAGATAAGGGAACAATTTTATCTGCCACCAGGAGCAAAGGCAGAGCCAGAGGGTGGCCAATGGTGGCCATAGATTGATCTTTGGCCATCCCACTGGCCACCCCAATCATTTCAGGAAACTATACTTTTAACAAATATAAAAAACTAGAAAGCATAGTTTCTCACACACACAAGTCAGTACTTTGCTTATTTTGTAACGTATCCAGCTCAAGATGTTTACATATATACATATGGCGGCAGCCATCTTGAATTGGATGGTGACTTTTCTTACTCCTATATACAGCCACACACCAAAATGGGAAGTCGGTATCTCGCTTTTTTTTTTTTTTTTTAACTTATCTAGCTAACAAGACAGTCAGAATTTCCAACGATGTAGGACAAATACAAACCGGGGGGGGGTAAGTGGGGTAGGAACTCACCTTCACAGTCTCATAGTTGAGCAGCGAATCAATAGCTGCGTTGCCTGCTTCATTGTCAGCTTTGTTCATCTGGATTCGAAACCGAGTCCTGAATATAGAGACACATGCACGATGACACGAGGGCTTTCATTAGTACGTTTCAAACAGGGTGTGACAATTTTTACAGGTTGCACAAGAAGTCACTGGGGTATTTAGGGACCTGTCAAGAAATAACAATCCTGACCTATAGACGGACTCAAAAAAAGCAAATACAGTTTCCTACCTCCACTGAGTAACAAGAATGGTGAAAATTGTGTACGCTGATAAGGTGCCCAAGGCCACTGCTGCAAACTGTCCACCACACTTATAATACTGCAGGGGAGAGGAGCAAGATAGAGCAGCTTTTATGTGCAGTAAATACACATTTTATCAAATTTCAGCAACCGTATTGGACTACATTATTGATAACATTACACAGTTTTTAAAGGGTATTATTTCTAAAAGTATCTGTGCTAAAGCTTTGAGTTGGGTCAATAGAGTTTGACCTCATTACAAGCAATTATTTATCAACTGGAGTAAAAGCACAACGCTATAAAGGAGACGTTCTGTCTGTGGTGGCCAAGAAGGGACACATCTGTTTAGAGCATTCTCTGCCGAAACACATTAAGCTGCTACAAAGCTCTAGGATTCATCATTGACACTAATCGACTGTGTTTCCACCAAAAGTTCACAGGGATTCAAATTCCATTTACAATGTAAATGAGACAATATCTCCTAAATTAATTTCCAGACAATCTGCCGTGGAGAATGTCGAGGTGATGGAAGGTCCTGAGTTTTTACAAAATGAACAGCGAAGACAACAAGACAGAAACCACAGAATGCTGATGGTGTTTCTACAAATATACTAAAACTCGTACGAACAAAATTATGTCAAAACCTTTGAAGGATGTTTAATTTTACCGCTTTATGTTGTAGTTGTACAAAAATCTAATCACAAATACAACAAACCATTTTGTTAAATAGCTAATCATAAATGCGATAAAAATGAATAAAAATTGTTTTTTTAATTACTTGGCTTTTTTCCTGTTCAAGGAAAAGAAGAAAAAACATCAACATACAAATGTTCATACATAAAATTTAAAAACTTATTGTTCCTTTGGCTTTAGTTTTTTTTTTACTAATAATAAAACAACACTTTTTATCAATAAAAGAAGTGATGTTTTGTTAATTTGTTAATCAACCAAGTGCAATAGAGCCTTACCATAAGCAAGCTTTACCTTTTTTATTGCAAACCTACATATGTTTTTATGTGGACGTTTTAGCGATACATATACAAGATAGTTTCACGAGTAGGGATGCACGATATTATCGGCATGGTATCAGTATCGGCCGATATTAGCGTTAAAGATCAATATCGGACATCGACCATTCCATCCAAATAATCAGATACAAAAGGTGCTGTTTTTGTATGACAACACAGTGACAAGGATGCCTGCAGCGGCAGCACAACGTGATGACGTCACGCACGTCTACCTGATCTCACAGCGGAGAGGAAAATTCAAAATGTTGGTGGTGTGGAAGTTTTATTTTTTTGTTGAGGATGTCAGATTCCAAAGATTTTTGGACTACGATGAGCCTCGCTACATCGTCCCCAGTCGGAGATATTTTTCCGACGTAGCCTTACCCGAGTTGCAAGCCGTCATTTCCAACGTCATTGAGAAGCTAGTAGCCGATAGCGCTTGGGCGAGTTTCACCACAGACATTTGGACGTCGTGTTAGCGCCGCTAGCATGATTAGTCTTACGGTACAATGAATAGACAAAAACTTTGAACTTAAAAAGTCTGTCCTTCATGCACAGGAGTGCAGAGGATCCCACGCTGCAGCTAGGAACCTGGAACAAGCCTCCACAAGTGAGACAGCATCGCAGGTGACTAATGCTGATAAATAACATTTAACACTTTTCATTTAATATAAGTTAAAGTGCTATGCATATCATATGGCTGTTACTGAATAAATGTCACCAGCTCTTACAGCTGTTGCACAGTTTTTGTAGCAAATAAGCCTAAATAAGAGAGCTATGTTCTGACAAAGGAAAATATATAAAATATCGGTATCGGTTATCTGCCAAACAAATTTTAACATATCGTCCAAAAATCCAATATCGTGCATCCCTATTCACGAGTTTTCCTTTACTTGACCTGTAGGGGGGAGGACCTCTACAACATTATTATATGAAGATTTTTAGGTAGCATGTTTAGTTAAATAAATTACAAACCTGTTTTAATTCCAACAAACGAGCATGAATGAGCATCCTCTAATTAAAAAAATAAAATAATTCAACACCATATCCTGATGCATGCTCAATAATCCAGGTAGAAAGATATAAAAAAAGTTAAGTCAGGTCCTCTGAACGTTATTTTTTTGTTCCGTTTGTTTTTTTGTTTTTTGAACGTCCAGAGGACATGACTTAACTTTTTTAGAATTCAACACCATATTTTTGTACAATAACAGACCGTCAGCTTAAAAGCAGGAACTCACCAGAATAGCACTGACGAGGCCCATCTCAAAGACTGTGGGTCCTAGATTGAAAACGAGAGCACTGAGGACAAATGAAATGCCCCGTGTGCCGCGGTCAATTGCCTTGGACAGCGCCCCTGTCTGGCGGCTGAGGTGGAAACCCAGATCCAGATTGTGCAGGTGCAGGAAGACGTTCTTGGCGATGCGTCGAATCGAGCTCTGGGCCACTTTGCCGAACACGGTGTTCCTCAGCTCGTTGAAGAGCGCCGAACAGGCCCGCGAAACACCATCTGGAAGAGCAGAGGAGGCAACGTTTAAGGACACCTGCTGTGAAATGCCCAAAGGTTTACACAGCAGGACCATCATGTGGGATTTTAGTGACATCCTAAACACAGAGAGCAGTTTAAATATATTATGCGGCAGCAGGATGCAAGCGGTTTGGATTGAAGCAAAGGATCGAGAAAAACAAATGATATCCGAGCGTGCACAAAAGTATGTTTATGACAACAGAGGAGACTACATGTGTGAGCAGAACATTTCAAAAGAAAGGAGAAAAACTTAAGAAGAGTGCCGTGAAAAGATGAGAGTGACTTTTCAATTATCAGGCTTAATGTTGCCACTCTGAGTTTACGCCGTCTCTGAAGAATAAAAGCAAAAAAAAAGGAACGCCTTTCTTGAATGTATTTTAAAAATGTACTACATCTGAAGTTTTTCTTTATTAAGTACTAGAATTAATATGCAGCAAAAACAAACTAATTTACTTCAATAAAATCGACGTGCTAACAGTTAAAAATGAAACCAATCACATTGCTGCACAGTCGAATGACTAGTACGACTGTCACAAATTGATAAGTGTCTGTGTTTGAAAGATACACGGTCTTCCTGTGGTGAATTCACTAAGTCGCGCAAACACGTGACTCGTCTGCAGAGACCAAAGTCAGGGTGATAATCTCTCTGTCTGACGGTCTTCACGGGAGCTGTAATGTGGCGTTAAATAGGAATGCTCATCTAATGAACAATATGTCCACATCTGACAAGGTAGGACGAGCGCCGTGCAACCTTGACAGCCAAATTACACCAGTCACTGCAGGCTTCAGATCCAGGAGCACAAGTGCTCAAAAGAACGAGCAAGAAGAAGAGCATTTCTTTCCTGAAGATCGTTTTTTCCACGTCTCACAACATGCAGCACTAGTGTGCAACATCTAAGAGGACTCGTCAAAATAAGAGGCTGAAGTGCACATTATGTTCATGATTGTGTCATAAGGTCAGAGGAACTTGTGAGAATCAGGTTTAAAACATATTTTCCTACTTTTGTCAGCGATTTGATGAAAGCTGTTCTAATTTCTCATGCACGTTTACACTAACAGGCTAGTTCTGATAAAACAAAGTGAAAAAGAAAATTCTCTATAAAGGTTGTGGGTAAAAATGTTCTCCCCGACTTCTGCATAAACTAAAAATATTGACTCTCCCCTGCTTTAGAAACGCATCCACTTCTGCGTGCCAAATTTAAAAAAAGGGTAACTCAAACATAAAAAGGTTGCACACAATGTAAATAATCCAGAGAGGATGTTGCGGAGCAGCATTGATATGAATGTGGAGGGAAAGGTCAGCCAGCAGACAACACAGAGTCCCACAGTCTCCTCTGATAAGCGCAGCACCTGCCAGCGAAACACAAGTCTACGACTTACAGCCAATCAGCATTGCCGTTGCCATGGTAGCCACGGTGCTTGGCGCGTCATTCAGGTTCAGCATGTGCCCCGACATCTGGTTAAGCTCGTCCACTGCATACTTAAACATGAAGGGAACCACCACGTTGGTGAGCTGGGGAAAAAATAGCATGAGTTTAAAAAAAAAGAAAGGAAAAACGGATTCAAACAGCCGATTACAAACTTTCTGACTTCGAAACAACAAAATGAGTGAGAAAGGCTTGGCTAACTTTGTTAATGACTTTAATTAAAATAGAATAATGACAACAAAGTCTTATTAACAACGATACCAAATTATGACTGCTTTTATTCTTTTTAACAACTATAGTAAAAAGTATGCCATAATGTATATTTATAAGAGGTTATCCAAGGACCACTTGATGTTTTATGACCCACAGAACAGGGCTTAATTTGAACCGGATCCTGGAACTCTCTTATTTTGACAGGGTGCGTTTCCGGTAATTGTTTGCTTGTATCTGGTAACTCTCAGGCTTACTAATAATAAAGTTATGAACAACTATGACTGCCTTGAATAAATAAAACTTATATTGGATATGTAAACTGAAAATAATTACATAAACACTCATTTTAAACACAACAGCCACTTATGCCTACTTAATATCACATAAGAGCTGCCTCTTCTAGTAGCATTTCCGCGTCTACCCTTAAATAAATAGCTGCCCTAGAAGAGTAGTGGGTGTGAGTGCCGAGCTAACCAGGCAGTCATACATGTGCAGCCCACAGGCAGCCACGATGAACAGACGGAGGAGGTGCCTGGAGGTTTCACATGTGGAAGCGGACGGTGAATTCAGCGAAGAGTTGGCTCGGAACCGTCATAAAAAGTGGGGTAGGATGCTTGACAGAAGTGGAGTGTTTACAAATCTGGGTAAACATAGATGTTTAACAACCCATTAAAATACACCAAAATGCAGGAAATCGCATCTACTTTATTCAAAATTTTTTGGGGGAGTACCCTCAGACTCCCAAAGCCACCCAGTCTGCTATTTGTGTTCTGGCATCGATCGGTTTACAAATTAAGCCCTGCCACAAAAGGGTCCCAATGCCAACTTTGGGAACCACTGATAAACAGACGTGCTCATTATTAGTTAAATGGTGAAATTCTTTTCATTTTTACGCATAAAAACTTTTTTTTTCCAGTTAAAAAAACAAAGGTATGTAAAACCGTATATAAGCACTTAACGCCCACTTTGAGAAGTATCAGCTACAAAAGTCTTTTAGAAACCTTATTTACACCACATCTGAGACAAATACAGCCACACAAGACAAGCTGGTGGATTCAAGATGCTTTGTAGATGGTTTTAGAAGAGGCTTTACGTTGGCTTTAAAAATATACACAGCAATATACAAAAAAGAAAGCAGACTGCTAAAATGGGCTGCACTACTGTAAACACTTTAGGCTGTATACAAAAAAAAATCAGCTAGTTTGATACCATAAAGTACAAAAGCTTTGCTTGAGTAATAAGTGACTACAGTCTGAAAGACAAAATGCTCTACTTCTGAAACATTTTGAACAAGAAGGCCTGGATGGGATGAAGAGCAAAATGTTGCTTGGTTAATATAAAAGCTGACAGCAGCTTGACTGTTGTTTAGAATCTGTTGCTTGTAACTGAAGCACAGGTTGATTAAAAAACCAAAAGTAATTATTAAAAAATACTAATAATCAAGATTTACAATGAATTATTATTCATAATATGGGTAATAAGAAGAAATAAGAAACATTAGCGGCTGAGGCTGAGTGGTTAGAGCAGTCATCCTCCAATGCAAGAGTTGGGGGTTCGAATCCACCAGCAGTCACATGCCGAAGTGTCCCTGGGCAAGACACTGAACCCCTCATAGCCTCTGATGTGTGTCCCATCGGTGAATGAATGTGATAAAGCACTGATTCGTCTCTTTAGAATGATTTGTTCAATTAGCTTTGTAGAGATCTAGTAGAGTGCTGTATGAATGAGTAAATGAGGACACAGATTGTGTTGTAAAGCACTTTGAGTATCTCCATAAGATGGAAAGGCGTTATATAAGTACAGTCCATTTACCATTTACCATTTTGCAAAGAGCTTAAATCTACAGTGATTTTTAAAAATGTCCATACTGTTGTTAAAAATGTACAAAACAAGAATACCTTCATTGTCAGGAGAATTTAGGTAAATGTTATGGATGTTCATCTCGAACGTTAAATTAATGTTGAACCATGTGTGAGTTGGAGTTGGTTTGTCTGCTCAGAGAGGAGCCTGCAGACGCACGGAGGTGCACCTGATAATCCCCAAGGCCTTCTCCGACTCTGTAAGCTGGGAAGCCGAGGTCGTCTTGACCTCGCCCCTGTACAAAGCACTTCCTGCCTCACTGTCCGGCTGGATTCTCACCGACGAGGCTCAAAGTATGTACATTTTGTACATCTGTGAAAGCTTCCTCGTGACCGTCTACCCTTGCAAGCAAAGACAGGTTAAAAATCTTCTCTTGTCCTCAGAGTGGCTTATTTGAGTAAGCAGATGATGAAAGGATATTTATTTTTATCAAACATTCATCTTACTTTAAACTTCTTAAATTATATTAAAATGTGTGACTTTGTAACTTTTAGCCATTATTCTACTCTCTTGTAACCTAACGGTGCCCACTTACCGGGGACGCGCTCCTAGGAGCTGCAGCCACGTGCACTCCGTCCATCTTTTGGACGACTGTACGGAATACAATCTCGTAGTGCTTCGGTGCAATGATAATAAAGCTTATTCTGATTCTGATTGCAGACATTTGATTCAAAAATGCTCAAATTATTTAAATTCTAATTAAATTTTTCTGCCTTTTTTGTACTTTTACACACGCACATGCTTCTTAAAAGGCGAATTTCCTCAGTTGTATGGAAAATGCTATAGTACATCCAATCAGGTGAATTTCTAGTATAAATTGGACATGATGTGTAATTGTAGGAGCATGTTTTCTGTCTTTTTTTTTTTGGACTGGCACTAGTAGCACTGAGAGAAGGCTGGTGCTTCCTGCTAATGGAATTGAAATGGTTATTAGAGCTAATTAAAAGCACAGGGACAGCTGTGTGACTCAGTCTGAGCGGTCCGCTGCACATTAGGACGCAGAGAACACTGCATCACACAGCAAAGCAGTTTTAAACCCCTTTCATTTGAACCTGTAAAAGCCCAACATGAGGCCAGATTTTTAGGTCTTTCTCCCCAGTCGCATTCAGTTTGAAATGTTTTGGATAGATTTTTAAAAAAGGACAAAAAACGGAGTGTAGAATGCATTCCTGTGTCAACCTAAATGTAAACACTCACCTATAAAGCTCTATTTATGGAGCCAAAAGCCACCTCTCTAGGGCTCTTTCTTTACACACTTGGGTATTACACTCAGACAATAGAAGTCCTCCGAGTCCCTAAAGGAAAAACAATATCTGCCACTTTGCTACCAAGACAACAGAACATGACACAAAAATAGCCTGAGCTTATTATCGCGAAGCCAAAACATGTCTTCAATTTTACCACTAATACATGATAAGGTTGGATGGGCTCTTTTAATCCATTAATGGCAACCACTGGAGATTAAAGTGACACAGTGTCAATCTGTACCTGGTAACGTGACATCCCATAATAGAGATTCAGTGTCAAGTAGCAGGGAAAAGGCTTCAGGCTATGGAGAATCAGCTTTACCTTATACTATAAAAATACAGACGGGCACAGAGACAAAGAGGGCTTCATTTGAGGCCAACTTGTATATAATCACTTGTTTGAAATGAAAATGTCACGATAATGTTGCTCGCAGAGGTGAGATGCCCCCGTAACCAAGTAATTATTCAGCTGATTTAAAAATTGCAGCCACACAGCTGGTGGTTTCAGTTCAAACAGACAAATTGGTAAAATGGAGGTTAACTCCAACCAAGCAGGAAAACACAAGGAGTCGATTGGATTGCGTGTGCATGTTCACGGCTCCTTAGAAACACACTAGAGGGAGCCGTGCTGAGCTGCAGCAGGACACACTTATTTAGGAGCTTTGAATTTGTGATTATTTTCCAGGGTGTAAATTAGAGACTATCAACAAAGAAAGAGAAAATGCCTCGCACACTGATTGATGCGTGCAATTAATTATTTAAAAAGCTGTTCTAAATGCACATTGTTTTGAGTTTAACACGGGTTCTGTGCCAAGTGTAATCACTTACGGGAGAGTGCTCATGTTTGAGCAACGAGAAGAATCTGATTAGGTAAATAAACAATATGCTAAACAATTAGACCGATGCTTTTAGTCATCAGTTGCTGCGTGTAACATCAAAAAGGTACTGCAGGAAGATTTTGAAAGATGTTTACTTTTCCAGGTTTCAATGTGAGCTGCTCATAAAGCGGAAGTTAACGGAAATAGTGACTAAAATTACTAGAGAACTTGCATTTCCTGCAGAGTGAATGCTTATTGCAGAAGAACTTGCTGAAAAACAGGTGAAAATAGCTTAAAAAAAGGTGAAAGTTAGCTGAAATAGAAGAAAAGCCTATATTAGCAGAAACAAGCAGAAAGAACTCATTTGTTGAATTGTGTTTAAATAAGCTGAAATTAGCACAAAAAATAGGAAATTAGCTAAAAAAAAAATGATGAAAAGTAGCTGAAAAGGCAGAAAAAGCTTAAACTACCAGAAGAAGCAAAAAGACCTGAAATGAGCTTAAAAATGTGGAATTGGCTAAAAAAGTTAAAATTAGCAAATAAAAGCTAAATAGTAGCTGAAATAGCAGAAAAACCTGAAACTAGCAGAGATACACTGAATTGAGCATAACAAGCTGAAATTAGCAAAAAGAAGTTAATTAGACTGAAAGTAGCAGAAATTACCATGGAAAACTAGAATTTATCTGAAAACAGCTGTAATTAGCTAAAATGCTAAAAAGGTAGCTGTAAAGGTAGAACAAGTTTATAGCAGCAGAAGAAATCAGAAAGAACATGTTTGCTCAATTAAATTTAAAGAAGCAGAAATTAGCACAAAAAAGTGGAAATTATCTGAAAAACTCTGAAATTAGCAAAAATCAGCAGAAAAGAAGCTAAAAATGCATAAAAATGCTTAAATTAACAGAAGGAAGTGGAGAAAGCACTTTTTTTGCTAAATAAGGCTGAAACAGT